GAGCCGTTTAGTACTCTCTTTTTTTGTATTTCAAAGATCTCTGCAGTATTCCTTTTTTGATAGTAGCGGATGTTTGATGTGGCTGGAAGAGTGCAGTTGTTCAACGTCAAGGATCATGTAGCTTAGGAAGTTAGTGGCATCAAAAGAAAGCAAGGAAAACAGTGAGTTCATATTATATAGTATATATAGACACAGTATAGCATATCGACCGACCTCACAGTTACGGCAGAAATCGTGCCTTGGGGTCCATTCACTGTCATCTTAGAGCATCTCGATACAGAGCGAACTGACTTTTCATACTCAGCGAATATTTGTTTGCATTCCTTCTCCTTTTCTGTAGCCTCTGGTAAAGTTCTTGGTGGAGGAGATTGTCCTTTCTTGTACACAGAGAAAGCATCGTAAAGCTTGCCAACGTACTTTAAATCTCGCTGTTTCGGAAAGAGGCGTGATTATTTTCAACGAGTTTGATTGAGCGTTGAAAATATATATATCGGAGTCAAACACAAGTACCAATTGGTTGCTTGAACTGGCATTCCAAGACGAGAACATCTTGACTTCCTTCAACTTTGGTTCCAGCAAATATCTCAACTCTTCCCCCCTCGTCAATTTTGAAGAGGCTTGCTTCCCCTTGATTTGTTAAAAGGATTCCTTTCTGAAATGGCACAAAGGTGCATCGTGCGTTTTGTGATTTGTAATCGACTTGGCTTTTGCAGGAAGCGAGTTCTAATAGTGTTATGCCTTTATTGTATGAAACAAACAACTTGTTGTTGTTCACACAGAGGCTGACAACAGAATTCTAATCGTCCTCATAGCCAATGATGCGTTGGACATTTATCGCCTATAACCCCATACCCGTCATACTTGAGCTGTGCACTATGTATTCTCTTGGAACAAGATAATATACACTACAAGCTCTCGGTCAACTAACGCGATCGCCTGAATGCGCGCTTCGATAGTCTTGTCCAAGAAGTTCACTTGGTGTTTGTCATGTCCAAGTGATACATATTCTTCCCCTTTTCCTCTCGCTGGCCACAGTGCGTTACTATTTCACTTATACGTGACATGCAGAAAGTCTCGTCTGTGACAAAAAAAAATATATATACAGTCATACCCAGAAACAACGCATTTCTGACGATCGTTCAGATCTACGATCCGAAATTCCTCGCGAGCAAAATAAAAAATCCGGACCCAAAAAATCAATGAAACCGCGAACCGCTGCAATTTTAGGATCCGCAAATACTTTAAAATTTCGCTCTGAATCCTAAATCTGGGCAAAATAATTTTCAGAATCCGCCGATCCGTTGGCCTATTCACCCCCTTCTTGAAGTGTTACAGGCAACTGAGGATTAAAATGACACATAATAGGGACCTGAACAATGAGCTTCTTAGACTCAACAAAAGCTTTGTCATGTGAGTCAGTCCACTGGACGGAGACGTCTTTGTTGGTTAATTCTCTTAAAGCCGCAAACACCATCACTCAAGTATGGACAAAACCTTGCAAGGGAATTCAGCATTCGGCATACTTAAAATTGCTTCTACCATGGTTGGGACTGAGCTGACCCCGTCAGGATTGAGCTGGAAACCCGTAAAAATAATTTTTGGGGTTTTAAACCTCTCCTTAGGTAGGTTCAGCTTGAGTAACACTTGTTGCATTCGCAGCAGAAAATTGTGAAGATTCTCATCATGAGCTTTCTCGGCCTCCTCTTGTGTTATTCCACATCCATATTTAAGAACACGATCAGCAATGTTTAGTTACCGAGACTTTTCATTCCTGCCAGGGCTTCCTGCTTTCTCGTTAGATATTTCTCGTTCCCTCTGGAGACTCGCCAAGGCAGACGTATCCACCAGTACCTGCCAAGAGGAGTATGGAAGATTGTGGCTAAGCTTGATTAGTGATCTGATGTATGTTGGTGAAGCCAGATATCGCATCTGCCACCACAAAGTAATTTGCACCGTTCAGTTGTGGCGTTAAATTTCACGTAGTGTCACGTGAATTTTGTTGTGAACAAACCACGAAAGTTCGGACATTGGGTCAACTACCCACGACCCATGTAGGGTTGACTTCAGCATTTTGTTGTAGATAACTTACACTGTCGTGAAGCTTCTCCATACTTAAAATCGATTTCTTGTTGTGTAATATGTTAGATTATTTATCAAGCAAGTTGTTATTTTTCTCCCGCCAAAGTAGATGCGAAGAGTGTAGCAGAAAGCATCAACTAAATTAGAACAGATTTCAGCGTTATGAATGCGGCAGAACTTTAAAAATATTTGCAGGTACCGGGGGATTTCAGCGAGCAGATAGTTGAAAACTTCGATTGTGGAAATCGCCTCCGCAGTCGAAAAATAGGTTCTGCCAATGAATCCATATTTCGAAAAAGACGACACCACCTCCTCAAACTATTCAATAAATCAGGAGATGCAAATTCCCAAATCACCTTTCCTGAAAACTGTGAACGATTTTAACGCATCGCCGCCGTTTAGATTGTGCGGAATTTTTAATCATTTGAGTACCTATCCATCGATCCGGCAGGAACTCGCCGTTTATATATCATTTCAAGAGAAATGCCTATTCATTGATGGTTATGTGGAATCTTTGTGAATAACTCAGTTAAAATGAGAGGGTGTTCGTGTACATGTAGCTGTTACCGCAGAATTCTGCGTCACTTAAGTTTTTTGCGTGGGTCTAGGCCGAGCGCTAGGTCCCGGATGACCACGCTGGCTAGATTCGTGCAGTAAACGTTTTCGTGGTAGATTTATAGTTTTACAGTATATTTACGGTTTTACGCCTTTACGGCTTTACGGTCATTGTTACTGTTAAAAGGACTATAAGGTGTTTCCCATGGTTGAAAGGACACAGATTTTTCGTTGCCTCATCTCGCCTCATCTCCCCTCATCTCGCCTCGTCTCACCTCAATCGATTAGAGTGAATTTTGTATGGATTTGGATGGAAATCTACGAGCGTAACGACTCTGTGAATAAACAAGTTGCTGTTTTATGAGTGATCGTCTTTCACCTCTGCAAGGGGATGCAGCGATCATAACGAAGGCAGTTCTTCGACCACAGTAGCTTAAGTGCAGCCTTTAAAGAAGTCAAAACGAACGAGGTAAAGGAATACTAAGATCTCTGTTTTATTCTTGTTTATTCTTGTGCACATAGTTGTCCTTCGTGTACACGCACTTCGATGAGATGACCCTTTCCACCTTTGAATTCTCTCCTTTATTCTAACTTCCCCAGGAAAATGGAAAAACTTGAACGAATCGCCATTTGCTTTTATTACACGGGATTGCGATCTTGGTCATCGTTTTTGCAAGCACTACAAGTGCCTCTATTTGTCGTAACCATTCAGTTATTATACTCAAGGAACCTAAATCGTACTCGTTCATAGCGTTGAAAACGATTTTCATTAATTTTAGGGAAACAAGGCTTGCTCGCGTTTCAAAGCGATTCGTGAGCACTAATTTCCCATCAGATATAGCTCTCACTAACCGGGTTCGAGGGCCGTACTTTGAGATACGGACCGAATTTTTTTCCGCTCGGGTATATGGCCCAAGTGCCAAGCGTGAGGGAAAAACGAGGTTCCATAACTTACAGGTCGGACCGAGAAAAGCGAGGTTAGTAAGATATTCATAATATCTTTTGATTCAAATAGAAAGGAAAAAGATTCCAAGTCAATGTCAACGTCAGACGAATGGATAAATGTTATCAATGCGATCGAAAACAGTACAAGGATCTTTTTAACGATTAGTATTTGATTTGTGGTGTTTTGTGGCGTTTTCATGGACGTTGCTGGGTGGATTACTCGGTGCAGACTGAACAAAAAGATGAAAGACAGGTTGACATTGAGTCGATGTTTGTTGACGCGATGAAAAAAGGACACAGATTCGCCTGGGAGCTAGACCTACCTATTAGAGCTTTTGGAGGAAGACAAACGGTAAAAGTCTGTTCAAAATTCTTCTTGAAAAGACGTTTTGGCGGTCAAAGCAAACTTTTAAATTTAGCGGACCGAACAGTGAACTACGGCGCGCTAAATGGACCAATCATAGCGCACGTTCTAGCCGAGAGATTTGAAAAGTGGTTTTATTTGATAATCTACGCGTTTAACCACCTGAAAATACGTGATCAGATACATTACTGCGCCCGCACAAATAGTTTGATTATTTTATGGCAAACCGTTTCCTCCTACATTCTTCGCATCTACTTTAGCGGTAGCAAAATATCAACTTGCTTGAGAAATAATGAAACCTGGTACAACGAAAAAAATCAATTATAAAATTGTAACGAAACGCCGGAGCCAAAATCCGGGTCGTGTGTAGTTGAGCCAATGTCCGAAATTTCGCGGTTTACTTACATCAAAAGTCATATAACACAACACGTGAAATCTAACGCCGAAAATGTGAATTGGATGCTTGGGGTCTCTCACTGCTTTTGTGATGGTGTTTGATGGGTCTAAACAGATTCTAAATTAATCCTTGGCCTCTTAAATAGTCATGTCACTGCACCAAGCTATTGGCTAGGACTTTCAGCATATCTTTCCTTCGCTTTCATCTTGTCCAACTTTTCTTTGATTTTGGCATGTCTTGCTAGCGGCTGCCTGTGGATAGTGTCATGGACTAGGGTGACTAGCGGGTCTAAATTAAAGGTAAAAGCCCCTCCTTCCCCCCCAAACTCCAACCGGTATGCATATCAGGAAATGCTTTAAGAACCCACTCCAGCGTGATTGTAGCAAGGTGGGATGGAAACGGTATGTTTGGATGCGAAAAAATCAAACATGTGTGGTGCAAGTATCGGTTCCGGTGGCAAAGGGGTGTCTCGGGCGTGTGAGATCTCGGTTGGTTGTTGGCGGCTGTTCTGAGGCTACAGGATGGGGGTTTGAAAGTGTTCCGGTACCATGTGATGTTCCACGTCAATGGACTTCGTCTGCAGCGGTCTTAACCCGTATCAGCTTTGCACAGTCTGAGCTAGAAGGGAGAAGTGGCTTGCCTTTTACCCATAGGTTTGAGCTAAGAGTTTTCATTGGTGAATGAGGTTGCTTTGCTGTGGGTGAGATGCATGTTTTTGATCTTCTGCCCCAGAGGGATCAAAGATTTAGCAATTTCATCCGGTGGTGTGTTGCATGTGGAGGTAGTATCTAACTGCAGCATGATTGATTTGTTTATGTCCCAGTTCCAAGGGGCTGGGTAATTACGCCATAGGGCCGCGCCTTTTGGATTTTATGAAATGCTGTAGACAGTTTGGGCATATATTTCTGGTTTGATATCAACTGCAGAGAGATCGATTTCATACTCTTCCCCTGAACCGGCATCAAGATGGTGTGCCTGGAGTTTGGTGCCTCAGAGTTTGGTGCCTCAGGGGGTATGGCTAAAGAAGGTGCTACCATATGACATGCATCGGAAAAATGTCCGATTCTCGCACAGCGTTTCTTAAAGCATCGCTTCTTTGAAGCCGGACATACAGAGCACGGGTGTGCAGACCTACCCAATATTTACAGGTGTCAGCCTTGCGCTGGCGGATAGACTGATCATGACCTCATTTTTGCTCTGACTTTGGGGTGTCTTTGTGTTTGTGTAGTTTACTTGTTCTTGAGGACGTAAGCTTGTTGCATTATTGCTTTAGCCTTCTCCAATTGCCAAAAGTTCTTGGCTACCTGTAGCATTGTAGCATCTCTGCGGCCCATAATTTATAGTTTTGACATCAGTCCTTCGTTGTTGATCCCTGATATTGACTGGTCCTGACATTTATTACAGTACTCTAGGCTCCCACTTTTTTTTTTTTTTTTTTACTGGTCCGATCTAGGCTATGACATATTTTCTCTGTTGTAACTCTCTTTCACTAAGCCTTAAAAAATAAAGGCTCAGACGGGACTCGAACCCGAGCCTCCTATATATTAATTAACTGCGACCATATCATCTCCCAGTCCAAGATAATAACATTAATCTCAAAATGTTTTACAAAAAATGTTGTTTAGAGAGACAAGTATACATTTATCTTCAAATAACAGTTTTGCAATTCAACAGAAATCCCCTTTAAATCGTTCAAAATCCCATTTAAATTCACCTTTCATGGATTTTTTCCCCTTACGCAAGATCATATTTTTTGAAGTCGGGCTTTTCTTCATACAATGAACGCTCAAAACAAACATTCCCACCTCGCTCTTCCCACTTTGAGAACACATGATAAGGTCAAAAAGGGATATTTTGTTATTACGCTTAAATAATTTACAAACAGTATATTGTCAAAACAACGGTTCTCTTTTTTGCGCAAGTTTAAGCTGTGTATTTAAAAAAAAATTATTTCTTTGGAGCTGCCAATGTAAAATCACAGAAAGGCATGATCCTCGCAGGTGAGCTGCAATTTTACCAATTGCCAATTGGAATCTCACTTCTGACACCATGTTGTAAAAGGGGAAACACTACGAAAGCAGAAATTGACGCCACATCTATTCAACACCCCCCCATGCTGGGGCAATCTATAACAAATTCAAGGTGTAACACATTATCCGTTCCGAAAAAGAACGGAGAGCGGGGCACGAGCTGAGAACAAATGTGAGCTTCAAAAAAACAACTTATGTTCAAGGACAAATATACATGCATTTTGTAAAGTCAAACGAGAATATTGTGCTCATTATACTGGAGACATTTTTTGAAGTGCGTCCAGTAAATTATTTTAAACAATTTATTGTTGAAAACGAAGGTTCATTTTTCTTCACAATGAAATGTTTTGGACCTACGGATTGGAAATAAAATAAAGTCATGTTCCTTGCAGGTAAGCTGCAATGCAGCTGACTGAAAAAAAGAAGCCTTAAAAAACATAAAGGTTCGGACGGGATTCAAACCCGTGCCTCCTAGATATTAATTAACTGCGACCATATCATCTCCCAGTCCAAGATGATAATATTAATCTCAAAATATTTTACAAAAAATGTTGTTGAGAAGGACAAGTATACCTTTATCTTTAAATCGCAGTTTTGCAATTTACCAGAAATCTGATTTCAATCTTTCAAAATCTCATTTAATTTCACCTTTCATGGTGTTTTCCCCTCGCACAAGACCACATTTTTTATAGTGACTGATACAAGGGGATCAGTTAAATTTTAACTTTTTTAATTTTTACAAGGGGACTCCTCCCCTTCGCCCACTTGGGCGATAAATTATGACCAGTAACCAAGGTATCGAAGGATTTGGCCTAAATTCCCAAGGGCTTCCTCAGTAGGAGAGAAGTCTGGAAAAAAGTTGAGAGTTAATTTCTATTCCCACAGATGTACTTTGGAAACTCTGTAGGTCTGTTAAAAGTTTATGAGATGATTAATTTGCTTTATTGTCTTTCTTAATATCGTTTACATAGGTATTTACATGACAATCAGATAGCAGAGCTACCACGTGGAGTCTTCAGCTACAACACCAAGTTGATTCAACTGTAAGTAAACAACATTTATTGCTTATCCCATGAGACTTATTTTTAAGAAGCTTATACAGACCCAGTCACACGTGTAAACTATAGCAATTGGTAATGTTGGGACTCAAATCCAATATCTCAGCTCACGTACTTACTAAACCTTGGTTTCAAATTTCAATTGCCCTTAAGTCCATGCGTTGCAGAGGGGCCAGTTTACAGCTCATAATGGCAGGATCCAAATCCTATATCTCAACTGGCATATTTGCCAAGACCCCGTTTCAAATTTTAATAGAAATCCCATCGCCGTTGTTATTAGTGGGAGTGGGATTCAGTTTCTTTTAAAATTTTATTAATCCCACTAGCTTCAAAAGGGGTTCAGAGAGACGCAATTTACCGAAAGATGGGGTGTTTAAAACTCATCCAGTCGAAAAGAAATTTGAAGTTAACAAGAATAGCAAAATCAACAAATTCCAACCTCCTCCTTCCCACTTCCTCCCTTCCACTTTGAGAACATATTGTTAGTTCGTAATATTCAGATCAAAATCGAACAAATCGCATCGCGTATTTGCCAAAACTCGGTTCTAAATTTTAATTGCCCACTGGCCCATGCGATCGGCTGCATTGAAAATCCGATTTCAATCGTTACTAATCCCATTTAAATTCATTTTTCATGGAGCCTTTCCCCTAACGTAAGCAATTATCAGAAAAAAAAATCACTTCGGACTTTTTTTCATACAATGACTGTTCAAAATAAACATTCCCACCTCTCCCCTTCCACTTTGAGAACACATGGTTAGGTCAAACAGGGGATATTTTGTTTATTACACTTCAATCATTTACAAACAGTATATTGTCAAAACAAATGTTCTCTTCTTTGCACAAGTTTAAGCTGTGTATTTGTAAAAAAAAAAAAATTTTTGGAGCTGCCGATGTAAAATTAAAGAAAGACATGATCCTTGCAGGTAAGCTGCAATTTTACCAGTTGCAGAAAAGGAAGAATAAGAAAAATTCAGGCTCGGACGAGATTTGAACCCAGGCCTCCCAGAATATTACTGCCAACTGAGCTACAGAAGTAAATGTTAACTCTTCTGCCCTTATGCCTATTTACTTTTATAGGACGCTTTGTAGCCCTTTTATATTTGCTTCAGTTATGTTCTGGTCATTGTCCTTCAAATGTTTTTTTAAGTGCGTATAGCAAAACATCTAGAAACATTTTATTGTCGAAACGAAGGCTCATTTTACTGTGCGACTTTTCGATATGAATCTGTGATGAAATAAGTTTCTTTTGACTTGCGGATTAAAATCAATGAAGACATGATCCTCGCAGGTAAAAAGGCTCAGACGAGATTCGAACCCAGGCCATTACATTTCAAGACTAATAGTGGAACAAAATTTACCTAGTTTTCTGTTTTGTTTTTCTTGGGCCTTAGCTCTAAAAAACAAATAGCAGATGTGAACTTTTTTGCCGTACGTTTCCAATTATGCATCAATAGATTCCCATGGGAAACGTAGTTTTCCGATAAAATAGGCAAGATTATGTTCTTAAAGCCATAAAGCGAAACAGCTCGTATCAAGCGCGAATGACTTACAGCGACTTACGGCGCTTTATTTAAGCAAATGCAGCAAGCGTGGTACATAGCTAAATACGCCTCGTTTTTTTAAAGCCATGGAGCGGAACAGCCCATATCAAACGCGAATGACATGAAAGATACCTCGTTCTTCAGACGCGGAAAACTTAAAATATCGTTTTTCAAGCCTTAAAAAAAAGAACGTGCTTAACACAAAAATATGAAGTACAGTATACGGGATATACGCCTCGTTCTTAAAGTCCTGAACTATTAAACAGCCCATTTCAAGTGCGAATGACTTAAAAGATACTTCGTTCTTCAAGCACGGAATACTTCAAATCTCGTTCTTTAAGCCCCCCAAAAAAAAAAAAACACTTAACACAGAAATATGAAGTACAGTATACGGGAAATATGCCTAATTCTGAAAGCCCTGACGGAAAACAGCCCATAAACAGAAATTTGAAATTGCACAATGTCAGTTACTAGAGATCACTCTCTCAAACTATGTCTGCATTCTCCTGCATTCCTTTTATTTTACTTACAATCGATATGTCGAGTAGTTGGAGAATTGAAAGGTTTCCGTCGAGTTACTCTTCCGAATCAGCTGAGTGAAAGGTATTGCATAAAAAATAATAATAATAACAATAAAAAAAAATGCTCATTTTCTTCATTTGGTCAATTTCACAGAATTCTGACGCTAATTCAAAATTCAGAACGCTACTAGTCGGTTTCAAGAGGGGAAATTTGTCAAAATCGTATTGCAGGTATCGGTCTTTTTAACCTCTCGAGTTCGCGCCCCTTTTCGTCCTGGCTTCGTTTCCGTTATTTATCTCCTCTGAATGTTTCATGATAAGAAATTGACTCTTTTATAATTATTTCCTTAAACCATACAGTACAAAAGCGTTTAAACACAGAGCTGAATTGAAATAGTGTTTGCTTGTGAAGTGTCTCGGTCTTGCAGCCGAGGCTTTTTTTCGGTTTCTCGAATTCACGGTCGCGTCAAATTTATCACTACCCTACATCACTCAAGGGCATCGATTCATACTACCCAGAAGCCCAGCGCGTTCGAGATTGCCTTCGTCTGTATTTTTCTGAACAGACTTTTTATTTCAGTTCAGATCACACTGGAGTTAATTAGTAAGTTAGGTAAGTTGGAAAAATTGTTGTAAGGTAAGCCCTGAAAATGTTTCTCATTGGGCCCGATGATTTCCGAGGGTAAAGATCAGAATTCAGATTCCGATAATTTTGAAAACGATCGACACACCAAAAAGTGTAAGCCAGCACCTTGAGTTAGATTTTATTTCAAAAGTTGTAGAATTAACTAAAAAGTTGCGTGAACATTGTGAAAACGCTAAAGAAAGAAAAGCCCATGTTAATAACATTGCCCTATGGATCTGTCATCTGCGTTCTCAGTTTT